TATTCTGGGGATTTTCAGAAAAACTATTCTGTCCGGAAAATCTTATCCGAATTAATAATAATGACATGTAGGGACAGTTATTATTATTATTAAGGTCATCCAATTGTTGATCGATGTTTTCGATCGAATCGAATCGATTTATATTTTAGCCGATTTATTTTTATCAAAACGAGGATTAAACTCCAAATATTTTTCTTCTTCTTCTTCTTCTCTGAAGCCAATAATTTATGAAGGGATAACCGAATGACAATCTTTTTTCTTTTCTTTAAATGAATGAATGACCAATGATGATGAGTTTTTTTTCTTGGAAATTTTCTTAGCCCAATAATAATAATAATAATCGATGCTAGTTATCGAACCAAGAGAAGAAACTGAAATGATCTTGTAATAATGATGATGAAACTTGAATTTTTTGTACAACCCAGAATCCAGAATCCAGAATCCAATGAAAATCATCATTATGAATGGTCGGATGAAAAAATCTTTTTCTGTGTGTGATTAGATTCGTGGATATTTCAACAACATCGGCAACAAGAATTTAATGTCGAAATAGTTTCATCATCATCATCATCATCAAGCCTATAAAATTGGGCATCGTATTTCGTCAAAGAATACAGTTTCACATTTCTCTTTGCATCCATGTACATACATAATAATCGAGAATACATGAATATCGATAGTATCGATATTAGAAACTAAATGTTTTGGAATACAGACAGAATATTCTGTGTTTTTTGTTTTGTTTGTTTGTTATTCTTATAAAACAGAATTTCATTGATGATCATCATCATGATAATAGTGAGCAATTACATTAAGTAAAGTTTTTTTTCTTCTTTGTAATATCATTATTTGTTGTTGTCGGATCTTCTCTTCTTTTATTTTTTTTCATACACAAATTGAATGATGTTTTTTGGATATATTTTTTCTTTTCCTTTCTTCCATTTTGCTTATTCGGTTCAATAAATAAATAAATAAAACTTATTGAGAGACCATACGGTATTTTTATTCAAAGTTTTTCTCGATTTATTTGTTGTTCGTGTGTGTGTGTGTCAATCATGAACTATTAAATAATCAATTGGAAAAAGAGATTCAAGAGAGATGAAGAGAGATGAATAGAGAAATTTGTTTGTTTGTTTATCATGTCAATAGAAATGGAAATAGTTTTCGAAAATTTTCAATTCGTGTTTTTTTTCCGAAAAAATTTTCTTAAAACCATTTTGAAGATTATTGTCGGCTTCTTCTTCTTCTTTTTTTTCTTGTGTTTGGATTTGTTTATTGTGTTTGACTAAATCGATTTGAAATTTTATTTTTTTATTGAATGTTTACTCTGTAGAATCTAAACGAAAGATTCTTTATTACAAAAATTCATTCCAAAGTTGTTGATGATGAATTTCTCACATTTTTTCTCTCTTTGTAACCAATGGAAAGCAAGTGAAAAAAGTTGGCTTTATTCTTACACGATGTGATTGTGATTGAATCGGCGATTGATCATCATCAATAATAATGATTTAGGGAGAGGGAAAGAGAGAGAGAGAGAGAGAGAGAGAGAGAGAGAGAGAGAAAAGTTTTTGGATTTTTTCTTTCTCAAAGTTTTTTCTTTTACTTTTTTGTTTTTTTTTCAATTTTAATTTAGGCAAATTTTCCCCAATGTTTCTTATGTGTAACGAGCTTGATGAATCAACCAAAAAAAAGATCTGAAGGGAAAAAATCTGAAGGGAAAACTTTTTCTTTGGAAAAGTAAACGAAATATTTACTTTTTTTTAAACATTCTTCTTCTTATTAGATTCAAGAATATTTATAGGAGGTTAGTTTTCTGCTTATGTAATCCAATAAAAAAACTACGAAAAAAATCGACTTGCTTGATTTTCACTATTGATTCACTCTATCTAAACAAACACACAGAGATTCTTGATTTAGTTTATTGATTTTGGGTTATGTTTGAAAATTTTGCTTCATTATTTCCTTTTTTTTTGCACAGGATATTTGCCAAGTGTTGTTGTTGTTGTTTAGTGACAGAATCTAAGAGAATATTCTTGTATTTTTTGAAAATTCAATTCAATAAAATGCAATCGATGACGACGACATTGACAATACAGCAAAGCAATTCAAGCTGAATTCCGTTATTGAATTTGGTGCATTCTGAATGAATGAAAAAAAAACTCGAAGAAAATGATGTACGAATATTTTGTCCCATAGTGGTGATGGCGTGTTGCTGGCGTGATAATGATATGTGTGATCACACAAACACACAAAAAGTGGAGAGAGAACCAGAGAATGATGACAACGTGCTTTGATTTGAAAATTAAATTTTTGGATCAACTTTTCTCTACTTCTTCTGGATGTCAATTGTGTTGACGTTCGTTTTTCTTTCATGAAAAAAACTTGGTTTTCATTGATTCATTTCAAACTTTTTTTTCGATTCTTCGTTGAAAATATTCTTTTGAAATATTCTATTGGTGTGTGGATCGAATTTGAGAATAGGTTTCAGATCAGCGATATTGATGAAAAAAAAAGATTTCGAGAAAATTTCTGCAGCAACAAGAAAAGAAAATCATTTCTAAAAAAACAAATTGTTTTGTGATTGGAATATTCTTTATTCATTCATTCAATCATCCCGAGTTGGTTGTTCAGGGTTACAACAACGATAACTAAAAAAGAACATGAACAATCGATTGTATCGAATGTTCAATTGTTCAATACGAAATCGATTGTCACCATGGTGGATTGATGATCATTTTTTTGAAAGCCGATATTCTCATCATCATCATCAATCCATTGATTGAATTCTTTCTTTCTTTGTTATTCTTTATTCGTGATTCGTGATTTCCATTGAAAGATTATCGATTTTTTCTTGCTTTCTTTATTTAAAAATTAAATTCATTTTCAAACGAACAAAAGGGAATTTAACAAAGAAAAGAAAGTTGATAATTTTTTCATTTCGTTGCTGTTTGGTAACAAAGAATTTTATTTTTGCCTGGGTAAATTATTTTCAAATGAAAAGTAATTTAACGGTAGAATAAATTCTTCGTTTCGTTTCTTTGTGAAAGAATTGCCATTTTTTTCTTATTTTTTCTTCTTGCAAGAATGAAGAACAAAACTTTTTTTTGCAAGTTCAAGGGAAACTTTCCTGGTAACTTTCGGAAAGTTTTTTCGATTATAAATTTTTAAGATTTAAAAATTCAATTTGAAAGTGAACCTTTCTCTCTCTGTGCATCATATTTGAATATAAATTATAAAATGTCATATTTCTTGGAAATTTCTCCTGAAAAAAGACAGAAAATATGAATTTCATTCACAAAACAACCAGACAAACAAGCAAGTAAACATCGCTATCATTTTCATCTATAGAAAACACAAATGATAATTCTCAAAGGTATTGTCAAAAAACTACAAAACAAAAAACAATCCTGGTTATTCATTACAAACAAATAAAATATGACAACAACCTTTGGAATAAAACAAAACAAAAAATATGAGATTGAAGATTGTAAACCCGAAAAAAACGATGAACAAAATGAATTTCAACAACAGAAACCATCATAAATTCAAATGAAGATTCTTTTCCCTGTTTTTTTTTTTTTGTTCCATCATTTGAATAAAAATCCGATTTTCAGAATTTTGATTTACCCAAAATTTCATTGGTGGTGGTCATTCCATTTTTTTTTGTATAATTAGGAATTTTCCCTGGAAATATTCCACACACACAAAAAAAACCAAAGGCGTTTTTTCAGTGATGAAAAAAATTCATATTTTTTGATTGAATGTCGTGTTTGGAATTTAGAAAACAACGAAGAAATTCTCCACCTCCATTTGAAAACATTAACACTATGTGCGTGCGTGTGTGTGGTAAATATAGGAAATGTATTTTCTTTCGCCTAATATCGAATCCTCGAACGTCTAATTATCATTAATTTTGGGCTTTTTTTCCTGGATTTTTCTTTCTTGGTGTGTGAATAGTGTGTGGTGGTGTGTCTGGATCATTTTCTGGCTCAGTTTTTGATCCACGAAATTAATTTGGCGTAACTTTAATGATGATGATGATGACATTAGTTAGTCATTACCGAGATTCTTTTACCGAAGGAAAAGTACAAAGAATTTCCATTCGTCGTTCAATGACATTTGATAAAGTGTTTTTTCATTGCTGGCATCAATGTCTGAAGTGAAAGGAAAAATCAAAATATTTTATTTTTTGAAAAAAAAAGTTAAATTTGATCAAACAGCAAACACCAATATCTCTGTGGACCGATTTTTGCAACATTTTTTCGTTTTTTCAAATCCAAAATGTAATTTCTTTTGGAAACAATAAATTTGAAACAATTCACAGCTGCAACTGCAGCTGCACACACCATTGCAGCAGCAAAATTTGGTCACTTTGTTTTTTTTTGTGAAACGTTTCACTGTTATCGGAAAAATTCCATTGAAAACAGAGAAATTTTTGAGCGAACCAAAGTGATGATTGAAAGTTTGAAAGTGAAAACAAAGTTCAGATGGAAAAAAATGGATTGAAAAGTTATGTATTCCGATTCTGTTTGGTTCTTTCCCAATTGGTTTTTCCTTTTTCTGTCTTTCATTGAATTATCATTATTGTTTTTAATCACATTTTTTTCCGAATGTTTTTTTTCAAATGTTGCTGGAAAGATTCCTTTTCCAAAAAATTCAATATTTTTCACTCGCACCCAATGATGAGTTACCATCATCGATTTAAAATATCACCAAAATACACACACAGTGTTATTACATTAGATGTCAATAACATTGCTCACTATAGAAATTCTATAGGCAATCTATCCTGAAATTGAGAGTCCAGTGAATAAGATCAAATTCAATAACCTAACAACGAAATTGCCCAACATAAAAATGATTTATTACATAAAAAGTGGGGAGTTTTGAAGTTGATTCGATAGAGAGAGAGAGAGAGAGAGAGAGAGAGAGAGAGAGAGAATTGAAAAATAATGATAGACTTTTGTTCCTGGAACAGGCTTGTTATAGCAGAAACAAAAATGGATATTTTTCCTGGTTTTTTCGACTTTTGAAAATTAACTTGTAATTTTTTTCTCATTTTCTCAAAAACAGATCCATCATCATCCGTATCACTTTCATCAAATGTGACAACATTGAAACATCCACCAATCATTTTTGAACGTAAAAAACGTGTTTCATCAACATCTTCATCATCAACGATAAACAAATCAAATAATCAACTACAACAGAATTCTGATTCATCATCAATTCGTCAATCAGCTTATGTTTGTGAAGATGATCAATTAGAATTATCATGTTTAAATGATAAACATTTGGATATATTACGTGCAAATTTTGGTCGTTTTAGTATAACTGTTTGTAATCCAAGTGGTTTTCTTGATTGGAGTGTTAATTGTGCTTCAGGCAATTCTATACTACCAATTTTAACTGAAAGGTTTGTATTTTGTTTCGTTTCAATCACATTCTAGATAGATAGTTATTCTAGTTTTTTTTTAAATGTTTGTTGTCACTTTTTTCTCAATGTCCAAAGGCAATATATCGAAATTGAAAATGAAGAAACCTCTGTAGAAATTCAGTGGAAAGATATTTTCGTTTTTTATTATTTGACAAATACACACACAGAGAGAAACTGCAGAAAATGGTAGTGATGATTGGACAACGAGAGATGCTCCAAACAAAATTTAATCAAATGAAATTTTCGTCCCCAGAATTGGAAGAATTCAGTGAACAAAAAACTATATTTGATTTGAGAAGCGAATTCAAAAATTTTTATTAGATTTTCGGGAAAATTTCCTTTTCCCCTTTCTTTCCTTCCCTCTATTTGAATATCCAATAAGTTTCTCGTTCGTTATCGTTATCGTTTTTCGTTCGTTAAATTCTTTGCGAATATGATCATGTGAACTATGATATGATTTATCAAATGAATTTCTCCACATAAAAAAATATTTATGGATAACATACGTGTGTGTATAATGATTCTGATTCTGTTTGTTTTATTGACTTTATTTATTCAGTTATATTTCAAATTAAATTCTTTTAGTCTGATTTGTCCATTCATTTAATGAAATTTTCTTTTTTTTGCTACTTACTTTATATATATGAATCGCTTAGTTTCTGGATTCTTGGGCTTATTTTCAATGAAACCAAAAGAGAGATAAGTGTGAAAACAAATGAATGAAACATTACACATTGCTGCTGCTGTTGGTCCATAGTTCATGATTTAATCCAAAATGAATAATTCTGTACTGAAGACTGTAATTGAATCCAAACATAACAGAATAAAATAATATTGATATGGTCAGAAACAAAAACAAAAGAATTTTCCAATTTGAAAATGATATGGTTGGTTTGTGCGAAAGAAAAAACAAAAAGATTACATTTAGTTTTCGAAAAGGATTTTGATCATTTATTAGCTTTTGTCTGTGTGTGTCAATCAGCTGCATCAAACAAAATCCATCCGGTTTGATTTTAGTTTTAGCGAATCTTTACATTTGAGGATTTTCGTTGTTTTGTTTTCGTTGTTTTGTTGTTTTTGGTTCGCGGATGATTACCAAGATTGTATTATTTTTTTCGAAAAGAAAATTATTCATTCAAGCAGAATTATTTATTAGTTCCCGGTTTTTTTGGGCTATTTTGGTTTTGTTTTCTTTTTCTTTAATATCCATTATCTTTGTTTTTTGCCATTGTCCTAGAATATTCTGGTTTCAAATGAAAATGTTATCTGTAAAAAAAATGATAGTTTAGGCCTGAATAATCATCAAATTTATCATCATTATTAATTTGAAATCATATAGTCATAGTCATAGTTATTAACCTAACCTCACTCAACTATGAATCACAGGCATAGTCATGATCATCAACCTAACCTCACTCAACTATGAATCACAGGCATAGTCATGATTATCAACCTAACCTCACTCAACTATGAATCACAGGCATAGTCATGGTCATCAACCTAACCTCACTGAACTATGAATCACAGGCATAGTCATAGTCATAATCATCAACCTAACCTCACTGATATTCAAACATTTGAAAACAAAAAGTTTTTTTACACACCAAACACAAAATTAATATATTCATCGATCGATCGATCGATCAATCAATCAATCGATTTTTAATTAATATTCTCAATCTCAAAAAAACAGCAAAACATTATCCAATCTCGATATTGTAATGAAAGAAGAAAAAAAACATCTTCAATATGTGTATGATGATCAAAACTTGAAACTTTTTTTCCCATTCATTCATTTTCGGTACAAATCTTTTCTTCTTCTGGAACAAGAAGAAATTTTCTTCCTATGTTTGTCCTGAACGAAAACATCTTAAAAGCTATTTAAGAACTTTCATCATTTTCTTCAAGTGTTTTGCGTGTTTGATCTTCATTTTTATGTTTGTTTCACACACACACAAACACACAGATGTTTATTTCGCTTTCGATTCTTTCGATTCTTGTTTCTTTCGATTCTTGTTTGTTTGTGATGCTACAAACAACCAAAACAAACAAATAGACAAAAATATTTGTATGTGTAATATTTTTCCTCGCTTACACACACACATTATTATTGGTTTGGTTTGTTCAAAAAAAAATCATTCATTTTATGTTCATTCAAGCATCAACAACAACATCGACAACGATTCTTGTAACAACAACAAGGAAAATTCTTTGAAACCAAATGACCAAATTTCAATTACACATCAAATGTATTTATATATAGAGAATATTGTCCGGTGGCCGGCTTGTTACCTCTTGACCATTCTCCAATTCAGACATTCAATTTTTTGTTTGTTTGTCTTATTCCATGTGTGATGCACACTACTATTTTCATTTTCAAGTTTGATTTTTTCTCTACTTTTTTTTCGTTTTTCGAGAAAAAATTGAAACTCCGGAATCAATTTAGCTGTGTTTTTTTCTCCGTTTTTCGTTGTTCCAAATTTACCAAACTCGAAGAAACAATTCGTTAACCGGTAGGCACCAGGCACGAATCGGCTACATTTATTCATTTCCCTATTCTCTCTCTCTCTCTCTCTCTCTCTCTCTCTCTCTCTCTCTCTCTCTCGCTCCGCTTCCATTCAATCAAATTAGTTTGATTTGAAGAGTTTCTCTTTCTCTCGTCTTTCGACCGAAAAAAAAATAAATTGCCCAAACAAAAACTATTCTGTTGTCCAAGAATTATTTCCGAATCGCGAATGTTTAGTTTTTTTTCTGTTGTTGTTGTTGTTGTTGTTTGGAGCCTGATGAGAATCTTCAATTGTTGTACGAATTTCCTTGGCAATAACCAATCCAAAGAAGAAGACAAAAAAGACAAAACAAAAATTCTTGTTCCGTTTTTCAAATTTTATTCCGAATTCGAAAACAATGTCAGCTAAATGCTTTCGGGCCAAAATGTGTGTTTGAGAGAGAATCAGTCAGTCTATTTTTTCAGCAAACAATCTGGTCTTTCGACGATTCTGGTTGATTCTGGAAGAAGAAATCTACCGTAGATTTACATATATCCCTGAAAAATTCACTGTGCTGTTGTTGAGTGTGTCTGTGTTTAATGATGAAGAGATCCTAAGGGACATTGTTTTTTCAATGGAATCATTTTTATCATCCATATGGATAGCAGTTTTTTTTACTTTCCAATGGCTGGTCTGTTTTAAATGAATTCCAATTTTCAAAGTTTCATTCTGCACAAATGTTTTTTTGTTTTTTTCATTTGACAAAATTTAATTTTCAAAAAGTTTTCCTTGGAAAATTTCTCGTAATGTTTCTGGCTACAAGCGTTATGATCTGTTTTCTGGAAACATTTTTTCTTCACAAATGAAAACTTGTGTCTTTTTTCTGTTGTTTTGTTGTTTCCTCCAGTTTTCTTGGCCATCGATTTTTCTCGACATTTGGAAATTCTCGTTGAAAAGTTAATTCTGGCTACATTACTAGACAAACACACTCTTTTTCTGAATTTTTCAATCGATTTCTTTTTTTGAATTTTCTCATTACTTTTGAGCTTTTGCAAAAAAATTGATTCATTTTCAGAGTTTGCAAAAATCAAAAAATCAAGAAAGAAAGAAAAAATTTAATTAAATAGAAATGAATGAAAAGAAGAATATTCAGTGTCTGACTGAGTGACTGACTGACTTGAATGAATATAAATTCATTTCCTTGAGAAGAGAGAAAAGAAAATTTGTTTTTTTCCATTTTCACTTTCATCATGTTCACATCACATCCATCCATCCATCCCACTCACGCTTCCCAATGATTCCATAAGAAAAATCCAAAAAACCAAACCAAATTTTCAAGTTTTTTCAAGTTTCGACAACAACATTGGGCAATTTTTTTTTTCGTTGTTGGTTACTTCCTTTTGCCAATTTTGCTGTTTTTTTTGCCACTGATTTTTTATATTGTTTGGCTGGTTTATGGCTGACGAAATATCTTGGTTGGAATTTTCTTTCTCTCGGATATTTCATATTGGAAGAGAGAAAAGCAGAAATGAAAAAATTTGCATATTTTCCATTTAATTCCAATGAAGAAAAGAGAAAAAGAGTGAAAAAATAAAGTGCATGAAAAATTTGTATGGCCTACATTTGTTGTTTCGGTTGTTGTTGTGAATGACTTTTTCTTAAAGAATTTTGTTGAAAGTTTCAAATTTTTTGAAAACAACAAACGGAAGTGTTTTTTTAAACATTTTTCATTCTTTGAATTCTTTTGGCTGCTGCTTGAACGATAAACTACAGATTCTTTTCTGTTTGGATTCTTTTCTTTTCTCTTCAAGATGTTTGATTTGAATGATAGAATACATTCCTTGTCTGTCAGTTAGTGTTTGTTTGTTTGTTTTTCATTGGAAAAAAATAGCAAAATAAATTGATTGACTTGGCAAATCAACATTCACTTGTCATCAGACTGACTAACAATCAATAATGATGATTATGATCATCGGGCGTCAACTTTTTTCAATTTCCTGACAATTCTGACGCCCTGATAACACATAGTGTTTCCATCCAGAATAACCAGAATTTGTAGAATTCTGTTCAAGAATATTAGCTACATTAATTTTTCTATTTAAAACAAGGAAAATTCTTCTTTCTTGATTGTAATGAGATGAATGGATAAAAGAATGGAATGAAATAGTTGACCAGATCCATCTATCTCTCTCTCTCTCTGTCATTTGTCTAACTGTCTTTTTGACAATTTAATTTGTTTTGATCGGTTTGTTTTTTTCGGGTTTTTCTGGTTGTCCAGCCGGTTATTGTTTGTTTCGATTCAGTCAATTCAATTTATTTCCATAGTCATTGGATCAAGTCAAAACAGAAAAAAAGTTTGTATTAATAATTGATCGGCTATTTCGACTTTCATTGTTTTTTTGCTTGTTTTTATGTTTCGGATATTTTATTATTGTCCAAAGTTTTGTTCATCATCATCATTGATTAGTTTGATGTAATTATTATTCATTTCAA